CGCCCGCGGCCCCGCCTGACCCGCGCGGTGATGCCCCAGCGGGGCGCGCGCGGCCGCCGCACTGAGACGTGCGGGACGTGACTCCCGGGCCGGGGGCGGGCGCTGCCCGCCAGTTGCGCGCGCGGCCCGGGCGGAGCCGGGGCCGCACCCCCGCCCAGCGCTCGCAACCGCCGTTGCCGGAGCCCGGTGCTCCCACAGGAGAGGGAAATATCCTCCTTCCTGGCCGTTCTTGAGCTCTTCCATGCCCAGCAGAGCAAGTCAGCCTGTAAGAGACACATTCTGATGCACCTGCCTCACGGAGCTTACCATCTTTGCCATAAGTGATGAAAGAGGTAGACTTGCTGATGTGAGGGAACCTGGCCTACTTTCCAGCGTTTCATAAAAAAGGTCTACAGGGGAACACACAGTAATATCCATTTACTCCTTACATCACGTCTACTACCACATTTGGCTAAAAATCACCATAAGCCGGCACACCAGGTCTTCAGGCACCATCCTTTCAAGAGTGGTTCACATTTGCACACGCATGCCTCAAAAACAGCTCTCTTAAAGGGAAAGGCTGAGAAAACTTGGATAGTTCATAATGCAGAAGAGGATGCTCTGGGGAAGCCTTATTGCACCTTTCCAGGGTCTGAAGTGGCTACAAGAAGGCTGGAGAGGGACTTGTTACAAAGTCATGCTGTGATTGAACAAGGGGGAATGGCTTCAAACTGACAGTAGGTTTAGATTAGGTGTTAGGAAGAAATTCTTTAGTCTGAGGGTGATGGGGCCCTGGTTGCCCAGAGAAGCTGTGGCTGTCTCATCCCTGGAAGAGTTCCAAGCCTGGTTAGACAGGGTTTGGAGCAATGTGGCCTGATGGAAGGTGTTTGTGCCCACAGCAGCGGGTTGGAATGAGATTAAGGTTTCTTCCAACCCAAACTACTCTATGATTCTACAATCAATGTTATTCATCTGGTTTTGTCCATTGGTTGTTCATGCTAACACATCAAAATAAAAGGACCATTAACCAGAACTAAATGAACCCTGAACCCTCTAAACACAGCAAGAATGTACTTGATCCTGTTGTGGTGTACCTTACTAGGCTGGGACTGCATTCACCTCCTTAAGAGGTGAATAATAAATAATAAGGAAGTAGTGTAGAGGTTCCTTTACAAAATGTATAAATGAGGGGTGCCACCTTTAGAAAAGGCAGGCTTGTGGTTGATCTGCACTGGCAAAATTTTTACTTAGGATTTCGCTACAGTGCTGGTGTGCCATCAAAGCCTGCTAAGATAGAAGGCTACTGCCTAACTATTGCAACAGCTTGTTTTGCTTTCTGCTTTTGCCAGCTCAGCCCTATTTAGAGGCAAAGGATTACATTTAACTGGCTGCAGCTCAGTTTCATATCTCCACAACAGACATAACAGTATTGTCAGTATTTATTCCAGATTCCTTCTATCATGAATGGATTCTTGCTTTGGTAATGTGCAAAACAAAGGTAGCATCTGGGGTTTAATCTTCCTGATATTATCTTCTTGTTGTCATGGAAACTAATATAGACTCAGGAGGAAATATTAGGTAGCATTGTGGGTGGTGTGATGGTGTGGTTTCTGGGATGATGTATTATAAAAAGGAGCAGCTAGAAAAGGCAAGAATCTATTATTTGTGTTTAGCCACTACTCTTATTGGCAACATAGCTGTACTTCATGGTCAGCAGTATGGGTAGGAAGGACATTTATGAGCATGTACACTGACTTATATAGCTTGAGAACTTCATGTTCTCAAGAAGAATTAATTTCAGGAATTTTCAAGAATAATTAATTTATTCTAACTACAGCTGAAATCTACACAACCTTGACTTTCTATGATACAAATAAGAGATGGTTATCAAAAATAGAACATAAGCTTCCAAGTAGGGAACCCAGTTCAGCCTAGACTTCAGTCTGGAGCCACACCCAGGTGAGATTTGTATAACTACAAAATAAGGAAGATGGTATAAGCTGAGTAATGTAGACATTCTCCTTCAGTTTTTCTTATCTGTGAACAAAGAAAATAATTTCTCTCTTCAAAGGGTGTTGGGGGTATGAATATCTTGAAAAGCACAGGCTGCTTAATGTTGTGTTAATAGGAATTATGAACCTCCTGTATTTGCCCAAAGGTATTAAAATCTAAGCAGACTAAATAAAATATGCATGTTATTCTTGATTTTAAGTGAGGATTCCTAAGACTAACCAACTCTACTTAAATTTTTCAGGAAATGATTCCTGAAAAAAAGTTTTTATTTAAAATTCTCCAGACCCTTATGATAGACCTCTACATATAGAACAACTACCCTTTGTATTGACATCACTGACATCTGCCTATTCAGCATGACATTAACTCCTTCCTGCTTCTCCAAAGTACAAATGCATAAATCTTTAAATCAGATTTTATTACAACTCAAGTAACTCATAGTAGCCATTTAGATGGGCCACTGGTATAACCCACTAGTGCATTTCCTGTGGCTTACCTGCTTAAATATTAGCCAGTAGAACTATATGTTCATTCCAAAGGCTGCTGCTAACTTCTGTTCCCTACAAAATCATTACCATATTTATCAACCATATTTATTCTGACCTTCTGTCCTCCCTGCAAGGCCCCACAGTGACTGCCACTGTCCCATTTTGGCCTCCTCCATTTCAAATGAGACCATTTTTCCAGATCTGCTGCCTTTCTTAAGGGTTTGCCAGTTTTCCCCATTCTCTCATCTCCCTCTTAGAACTCCTAGGATAATTCTGTGCTGTCTGTCGCTGCAAGTGATGTTCCATATCAGATCTTGACTATTAATCATTCTCCAGCCCCCATTTAGCCTCAACACAGCTGTTCACTGCTGCTGCACAGTGAATAACATTCATCACAAGTTATTAGCAGACCTCACTGACAGTAACTTCACACTGCAATTTTATGTGTAGCAGATAATGATAACCAGTTTAAATTCTATTACCTGGGTAAAGTGCTCTATGGGGAAAGTTGTGACTATTTATTTGCTTGTCCTATTTTGTATCATGAAAAGTTGCAGAATCCCAACTTCACTTAGGAACAACTTACAATTAATTTTCATGCATCATGAAAATTAATTTCAGCCCTGCGGCTGTGATGGCTTTGCAAAATATTGAAGCTTTAGAAAAACATAGATGCTTGACAATTGCTTATAGTGAAGAAGTGTCCTTATATTGTTTAGTATAAATACAAAAAGTGACAGAGATAGATAAAAACTAATTAAGGGTCAAGTCCTGTCACCAGCTGGGCATCTCTGCTTATTTTTGCAGAATATAATGGAACTACCTTTATATATAAAGTGCTCGCATGCCCATGCACTGTATCTCAAGCTAGGTGAGCACATGTAGTTGAATACAGTGAGAAAAGATAATCTGGCTCAGAGGTAATTTTACACTTTGGACAGTGCAGTTTCATAATAGGGTGTCACACCTTGAGATATGTGAATTGCCACCTTCAGTCACAATTTAAAATGCCACCTTTTGATTTCTATAATATACCTTGAGTTATACTTCTGACTGTACCACAGAAGGTGTACTGTACTAATAGATTCTGATTTACATTTTAAAACGGCTGCCACACTGCTTCCTCTGAAATAAACACTGCAAAACCATACATGGCTTTACTCTGTGACATCCTAAATTGAACGGTTTGCCTAAGAGGAGTGCATTTCCACTAGTGCTAACGGTCTGCGCCTGTGAGGAAGCTGAATTACTGAAATTCAACTCCACCTTTTTGTGCTTTTTCTTCTCTCCACAGAATTGCTTAGAAGGCAAACCGCAGACCCCTCCAGGTGGATTGCGAGCAGCATCAAAACAAGGCTCTTTCCCAAGAGATGGAGAGGGGCTGCGGCGGCCGCCGCGCGGGAGGGGGCGTGGGGGGAGAGGGCTTGGGAATACAATGGTGGCGGTCGCGGCATCGCCTCGGCCACGACCGCTCGCGCGGCGCTCCGGGGCGGGCACGTAGCCCGCGCAGCCCTCAGCCGAGACGGCTCCCGAGGAGCGCTTGGGTCGCCGCCGCAGCCACTGCTCACGCAGACCGGGGAGAGGCCGCGCGATTCCGCGCCCGGGTGCCCCACCGTTCTTAGTGTGCTCGCTGAACCGAGTAACGGGGCTCCTGCCTGGGGCTGAGACGATGTCCTTATGAGGGAACAGTCCCTCAGACTGCTCGTCACTCGCTCTGCCGGACCTGAACGGTCACCGCTACGACAAAAAATTCCGAAATTCACCTCCGGGGGCTCTACACTGAAACAGGAGCTGAGCAGTAGCGAAGGGACAGCGGAGGCGAGAGACCCTCGTCCCCCAGTAACGATGTGAGGCCCCGAATGGCGGAAACAAAGCCCGAGCTCGCGGGCGTCCCACGAGCCACCAGTGTGGCACTGTACGTGCCCTCGGGCGGGCGGCACTACGCGCCTAGGCGTGACCCGGCTGCCAGAGGGGAAGCCGGGGGCTACGCTCTCTCGTAGCAGGCGGAGTGGTGCTCGGTGGCCAGCACCGCTCAGCGCCCGGACAGCGCTTTCAGGCTGGTGGCGCTGAGGACGTTGGGCGACCCATACGGCAGCGCGGGTTTCCCGACGAAGAGCTGAGCCCGCGTGGCCCCACGAGCGAGGAGAAACACAGCCAGTGGGAGGACGCCGCGCCGACCCTCGTGGGGTGGTGCCGAGGGGTGCGAGAACAGTCGGCGTCGTGCCCACGTCCCCACCGGCGCCCAGCGTAGCCTCTGGGCAAGGGATGAACCCGTTACTCCTACGCCGCGCTTTGCCTAAAGCTTGGGCGGCGCACGGGCTCATCCGCCGGCCCGAGACCCCCACGCAGAGAAGCGCCCTCGGTCAGGTCGGCGCTCTGGGTTCGGCTCACCCGGCTCCGGACCCCCCACTCCGCGCTCCCCGCGGCGTTCGTCCGCGTGCCCCAGGCAAGGACTCCGTGGCATCACGCACGACGGCTCCGCCTCAGTACCTGAGTCACGTCCCGCGTCTCGGCGCGGGGATGCCCGTGCTGGCGCCGGACCGCAGCCCGCTGTGCCCGTGTGCCCACGCAGAGCCGCACGGCCCGTCTGCTCCCGGGCTGGGGAGCGCTCCCGCGCGGCGGCTCTGGGGCTGCTCGCCCCGCCCTCCACACGGGGCGCGCCCTGGGTCCTATCGCCGCCGCGGCGACTCCCCCCTCCGCTACAGGTTCTTCGGCGCACGGGCCCCGGCTGTGCAGCGCGGCTCCACCGGCGCCGGCTCCGAGCGGGGCCCCGGCGCCTCACAAGGCATCCGCACGAGCTTTGCGCTGCTTGCGTACAGTGCAACGCGGGGCTGGACCCTGCCGGCACGAATGCTGCACTGGCTGTCCGGAGGAAGAGGACCTGAGCAACGGACTTCAACTTATGAATGGATTTCTGCTGTTGAGGTTTGTTCTGTGCTGCCGTTTCTGTTTTCCCGGGAGCGATCACAGTTTCCTCATTGTCTCCTCCCATGAGAATTACTCTTATGAGCTTCCTTGCTTAGTTGTTTTCTTAGAAATTTGAGTGTGATAGTGTGCATTCTGTAGACAACCGTTAGGCTTCCCTCCTCATCCTTTATCAAGGGAGTAAATATTATTCTACTCCCTGCAAATATGATTTCATAATATACTCCTCCTTTTACGTCCGGATGGAATGAGTTTTCTGCATTATTCTCTTGTGACTCAACTGGGATTCCTACAAACGTTTGATTATAAAACTGATGTGCTGATCTATGAAAGTTGTGGTGGGATTTTTAAAGGCACCGAAAGCAGCACTCCTATGGCTACCTGGGGCTTAGGAAATTCAGGAGTAGGTGGCTGCATTCTTCTGTGTGCTTCTAGCACACAATCCAATATATAGGGGAGTGACACCACACCTTAAATCCTGTGTTTGGTTTTTGCTCTCTCACAACAAGACAAACATTGAGGAGCTGGAACATGGCCAGCGAAGGGCAACAGAGCTAGGGAAGGGTCTAGAGCACAAGTCTCATGGACAGTAGCTGAGGGAGCTGGAGAAAAGGAGGCTCAGGGGACCTTATCACTCTCTACAGCTACCTGAAAGGAGATTGTACCAAGGTAGGCATCTGTCTCTTCTCCCAGGTAACAAGTGATAGAACAAGAGGAAATGGCCTCAAGTTGTGCCAGGGGAGCTTTAGATTAGATATTGGAAAAAATCTCTTCTCCAAACAGGCTGCCAAGCATTGGAATGGCATGTCCAGGGAAGTGATGGAGTCACCATCCCTGGAGGTTAACAGCTGAACTCAACGATTTTGGGGGAAAAAAAATTTCTAAATGATTCTATGATTCCTATAACCTATGTGGAGCTACACAGGATTCTAAGTAGGAGAGGACAGGTAGGATACAATATTGTCTTTTGAGAACTATGATATTGCACAGATTAGTAGCTTCCTATGTAAAACCTACTAGCTGAAATCATGTAATACCAAGGCAGGAACTGAAGTTCTTTTAATGACTTAGAAGTTTTTTCTTCTTGCGCATTATGTTTGCATTGGCTACTGGTTCAATTTTGCTGAAGTATAGTACCCATTTGTACATGCTTAAGGATTCATTGCATTAGTGTGTGAAGATGAGCAAGGCCATGTGGTTTATTTTGAGTAGATAACATACAGACAATAAGACTGACACTGCTAATCTTAAAGACTAGTAAAACCAGTTTTTGACTGTCCACTGTTATCTGAATTCAGGCCATTCACTTGCAGACTAGGTGTATTCAGATTTCAACCTCAATCCCCGAAATGACATTGTGTAGACTGTAATCTTTTTTTTCTCACCATTAAAGTTTGTCTGTTTGGGACACTACTGAATCACTGTAAGTTATCAATTACTCATTTAGGGAACTAACATGCATTTAACTATGTGACTAGGGGCTGATTGAAGGTACATTGGAGAAGATGACAGCTAATTTGAAAGGGGGAGCAGGGGTGAGGAAGGGTTGAAAAGATAATTCGGTTGATAGGTTAGGCAATGGCTAATATAAGGGTGTAAAGAATGCCAGCAGTCAGAACGGTGTACGGATTTAGACATTTGCCTATTATGTGCTGATTCTGATGAGGGCTCAGAGGGACCCACTGCACAACATAAATTATGCCGGGACTTGCACAATCATTTTTGCGTTCAGATATAGAAAATAATTTTAAGCCAGGTTTCACCATTGTATTTTAAACCAGAGGTGATTCATATAAGTAAATTAACTAAATCTCTTTAATAATTGCAGTATTCTGTAACTATAATTTGCTAAATGGAACTTGCTTTATTTCAAAAGGCAAATTGTTAGTTCTGATTCTAATTTTCATTAATAGTTACTGGTGAAAATAAACCCCTTCTTTCTTTAACTGGTACAGGGTAGGACACACAATTCTCTTCTGATGACATAAGGAAAATTATATAAGAACTACTGATAATGCTCTATCTTCTCTAAATTAGTGTACTTCAGATATCATTTGGGTGCAGCATTCGAGTTTCTGGAAGGGAAAAGCAGTTTAGATGATCTAGAAAAACAGAAGGCTGACACAACATTACAGGAAGTTTGCCTCATGACTTCCAGACAAGCAAGTCATCTAGTGTGACTAAGGGAAAATCATGCTTTAGGCCTGCTGCATGTTACATCTTCTTCTGTCTCACCTAGACAGTGTAAAGCAGTTTAGTTGATGGATGCAGTTTTTAATAATTAAGTGCCAAGCTTTTTAAAGTTTTTCACATGATGCAGCGGGAGTTCAGAAAGGACGGGAAGTTTGCTCATACCTGTTAACGGCTGTACTCGAAAGGGGCACAGAGTCTCCTTCCTGATCTGCGCTAAGGAGAAATTGATTAATAATAAACGGTTGGATAAACAAAATGTATAGGAAGACAAGTGAACGAGAGAGTGAGATCTGAGAGTATGGCACAAGTACTAGCTGTCTTTTGGGAGAAGGGGGTCTTACTAAACGAGACGGGGGCTCCAAAGGAGCGTGCCCGCGCTCACACGAAGCAGAGAAGAGGCTGCTGCGTGAGAGTAGTGAGGACGGAACGGGGAGAATGCGAGGAGGAGAGAACACGCTGCCGGTTCCTGGAAGCGAATGCAATGCGAGGAACTGAGAAACAGGAGGGGAGGCAGACGGGGGCTGGCACTGCCTCCGTGAGCGAGGGCCGGAGCGGCGGCGGCTGCGGCCCCTCAGCGGCGGCGCCATGGCGACGGGCCCGCCCCCGCAGGGCCCCGCCCGCCGCGGCCCGAGCGGCCTGCAGCCGGGAGCGGAGCCGTGCGGGGGTTCGTGCCGTCCGGACGCCGGTCGCCACTGGGCTTTTCCATCGGAAGACAGCGCGGTCGCACGGCATCCCGTTGTGCCGCAGGTTGTCCTTCGGAGCTCCCGATGCGTCGCCTGCGCATCTCGCGCCCTCTTCTCTCTCTGGGGACCCTCTTTCTTTTCTGTACCCTTCCTACTAAATGCCCTCTCTTGTGCTGTCCCTGAGTCCAAAGCTCCTCTCTACTGCCTACATCTAACGGGTTTATCCTCGACAGTCTGCCTGCCATCTGCTCTTCTGTCTCAGAGCCCTCCATGGAATCCTTCCTTGTGGGCTCTGCTTCCTGCCAGCCAGTTCCCTTGGCAGTGTTGTCTTTTGCCTACACTCGATTGTCTTTTCCTCCCTCTGCGCACTTCAAATTTAGTTAATCTTTTTAACTGTGGTAGCTACCTGATCCATTTGGAACAACTGTAGCTGAAAATGTGATACTAAAACAGCAGATCTTTCAGTGTTGCATGTTATAGGCAAGGAGGCAGTACTGTTCATGAATATCCATAATAGTGACTTTTTAAAAAGTCATCTACTTCTCCTTACCCAAATGAAGAAGATGTTACTTACACTAACACTAGCACGGTTGTGGGATTTGAACATTGCCAACAAGAATCAGAATATGAACAGAAAACACTATTTTAATTAACTTAGGGATAAATGTGAAATCTTGGCCAGCAGAGTTGAAAGACCATCAGATCATTGTGTCCTTTAGCACCGTTTGTTCCTCAGTATACCTGGGAAGACCAAACTCGAATTTTTTTATACTTCTCACATCCAACGATCAGTGATTCATTTTTCGATCCTAGAGAACTGGAGTTGTCTAGATTGTTTGTGAAGAAAAATGTTATTTAAATTATGACATCCTTTAGCATAGAGATATTGCATAGCATTTTCTGATCTGAAAAATCTCTCATTTAAAGACATTAAAGAGACACTATTTGAAAGGCATGCTTGTCCGATTTGTTTTCTGCATCCCTGTGCTTATTCAGAAGGGATTATCTGCAACCAGTGACACAGAATAATACTGTACAGTGAGAGAAGCTATATTTTCCCAAATCTCTGGAGAGAGCTGAACAGAAAAGACAATTAATTTTTTTAAGCATCCATGCTGCTTAAAAATGATGGGTTTTTTAATCTACAGAATTTATAATCAGATAAGAGGCAAATATGGAGAATAAACAACAGGAAGAGGTGGATGTGAAGCAAGTAAAGGGTTTTGCATGTAAAAGCACAGGCTCTCTCTGTTGGTTATTTTCTTTTTAACTAAAAGCAGACAAATGGGACACAGCAGCTAATATTGTTAATAAAAGAGAGGGCTGAACTGTTCCTTGATTCATCATACATATCTCAAAGAAAAGGTAAATATGTGTGCAGCTTGCAGGGTGAAGGGAATAAACACTTATTTCTGTTCTGTCCGCACGTAATTCTTGTTTAATGTAATTACTGTCTTCAGAAATAACAGTCTCTTTGGGGTTATTCTCTGCTTAAAATGGTAATTGTTATAAAATGCTGTAAACTGTGCTGGATCCAACTACATTTATAATGTAGAGATGGCTGGCTAAGTTTTAAATAATTTTTTTTAGTTACTGTGGGTGATCTGGTCAAGACTCTGGAATTCATCAAAGATTACTCAATGATTGATGTTAATGTGGTGCATATGCAAATTAATTTAAAGCCAGTTTAGGAGTTTTACATGGAGCATATCCTTTTGGGATTGGAAGGAAGAATTTGAGTCTCTTAAATCCAGCAATTGCCTCTTTGCCAGGCCGAGCTGGATACTGATCACAGTACAGCAGTCATTCTTCTGATCTGCCTTGCCCTTAAGGGTGTGGGGATGAACAAGGGAGGTGCAAAAATGTATGTCTAGACTACACTGAGACAGCACTTCTGATAGACTTGGTTTGTATGCATGAGTGCTGGCTATGGGATTCAGAGTACTTCAGGTGAAGTGTAAATTTAATTTAGCAAAATCTAGCAGAATGTGAAAGTGAATATGCATTTAGCTGTTTGTTACTCTCCAGTTTTAGTTCAGAGTTTTGACTCTGTAGGTATTATATGATCAGTCTTATCTAATCAATTGCAACGGTCATTCAGCTACACAAAAACCCTGTATAGAGTGGAAAGTAAATAGAAGTTTGCAGAACAGCACGATAGTAATATAGGTTTGTTTGGCGGTGTGACAGGCTGCAGCAAACCTGTTAAGTCTTTAAGGGATTAATGCAGAGCTTTAAAGGTTCAGTGTATCATTAGAGAACTTACTGGTCTTGATAGCAGTATCAGCTCCTCAGATTTGATCCTGACGTTACTGGTATTCTTCCACTGAATCGCAGAGAAACTTTTTTGTTGATAGCAATTAAAATTATTGGGAGAGGAGGGGAAAAGATACAGAGCTGCTTCTATTTTCAAATGTATCTAAAAGATCAGATTTCTGCTGGTCAGCCCTTGTTCTGCAAATTTTTTCTTATGTAACAGAAAATTTTGAGTGGAGGAGGAACTCAGTTACACTTAACTGGAGATCTTGCACTACTTTTCAGCAGATCCTCTATATTCTGTATGCAACTAACCTTTGGAAGGATTGTTTTGGGAAATAACATATACCGTTATAATTGGTTTCCACTAACTCATGGGGAAAGATGTTATGATGCCTGTTTCTTTAGGAAATTACAGCATCCTCTATTACTAGTTACATGTTATTGTTCAAAAAATTTTTATATGTGGACCCCTCATGCTTTTTAATGTAAATTTATTTTTGTTAGCTCTAAGAATAGTCATATAGGTCATCTGCATGAGGATTATGTGAACCTGAAACTTCACATGAAGCAAAAGATTCAAGAACTGGAAGACACTGATGACAGAAATTGGTGTAAGAATGTTGGAAAAGCAATTTTGAGTTGCTGCAGTGCCATCTAGAAATATTTTTTTCAGGTTTTTTTTTATTATTAGCATGTTCTGGTTTAACATTGCTATAGTTGTATAAGCTTTTTTTTTTGTCTATTGTTTTATCTCTCTAAAAATTGATTACACTTGTAATTACAGTTTAGAAAATTATGTCTTGCTTGTGTAGTAGCTGTTGCTTTGCTTGTTTGACAGCTACCCCTTGTAAGGAATTGCTTAGAATATGTTTAGTAATGTGAGAGTGCGTAAGATTATTTTATGTGGTAAGCACACTGCTAAATTCGTTAACCTTGAAACTACAGGAAAGGTCAGCATCTAGAAAGCAGAGGTAGTCTTAGGCAAGATGAATAAATGTACACTGTTTATCATACTCCTAATTACAAGGTGCTTCCCCCTCGCTTTTCCTTCTTATATTCCTATATTTCACCACAAAAGGATCATCTTACTAACGGTGAAATTTTATCTTCAACTGTGATACCCTAGGGAGGCATTATACCATCTCTTTCTATATAACAAACTTTAAAGAAAAACAAAACTTTCCTTCTTTGTCTTTGTATAAAAATGTATTTGATATTGGAATTCCTTTTACTAATTTACATATGAATGTGTTTAGTCATTAGAACTAGAACACTTAATTTTTGTCCTGTCAACCAAACCAATATATAATATAAATGGAAGTGGTTTTGTTAAGCAATTGTGTCTTCCACCCAACACCTGCCAATCCAAGTCTCGCTGCCCAAATCCCTTGTTATCTCATTCTCTTGTTTTCAGTTGTATTTTATCAATTTAATTCATCTAAGTAGTTTCTCTCAAACACTTTTTAAAAGACTTTATCAGTTTAGCCACTGGATAGCAGCTCACTGCAACCATTTAGTTTTCTGGAAAATCCATGGCTTCTTTATGAACAGTTTTTCATACACTTATAAAACATAGGTGTTTTGAGGCAAGAATTTCACATTTGTTCGTATCTTTACTGTGGTATCTTTACTGTTGTCTTTAATTTTCATGTTTTGGAGTAATTTACAATGTTATTTCGGGAGAATTTCACAGTAAATGCACATTTCTGTAGTACTGTACTTGAGTTTGAAATGTAAAGTCTTCTAACAACAGGTGATTCCCCGCCAAGAATGACAAACAAACATAAAATATCCACAAAACACCCTTTGTATTTATTCTGCTGAAATCAACAGCTTTGCTCTGTGTATCATAGGTCTAAACAACAACTGTCTCTGGCAGCTGAGCGAGAATGGATTCTGAAACAGAGTAAAATGCAAGCAGAACTTAACTGGCAGCAGCTCTGTGAGAATGCTGAATGTAATTGGTATCAGAAATCAGAGGATCCAACACACAGCCTATCTTCATCAAGAGAGGAGGTGAGAATTTCAAATTAACACTGTTTAAGAATCATCTATTGCATAGAGAGCTATGGAGTTTGTCACCATGGTGTTTCTCAGGGAAATATGAGTTTACCTTTCTTTCAAAAAACCTGTAAAATTTACAATACAGTATTTCTGTATTGTGTACAGCAATTCATCAAATGTATCAGAAATCAGATTAATTTTCATGAACAGAAATCAGATTAATTTTCATGAACAATCTCTAATGGTGGCCTTTTCTCCCTTTCCATGTAAGCAAGTTGGCTTGAGAGATGTTTTTCCTTTGCCATTGTAGCAAAAGAAGAAAGATGTCTCTTAGAGCAGCCCGAGGGCAGAAAGAATTTCAGATCACAGTACCGCTTGAATTCTGTCAAGGGATCAATATTAGTCCTGAAAAGCTCTTGGGTATTTTTGTGTGGAAAAAAACACCTATTTTGTGCAGTCTAAAAACTTCAGCTTCTGAAAAATTAAATACATGTTTATTGTTTAGAGACTATTAGACAGTGGTCTAACAATTCTCAATGCCCAGTTGCGCTGAACTCACAGGTACAGAGGAAACACTTGTTTCTGAAGTTCAGAATGCTGGCATTTACTCTAGTGTTTTATTTTATTATTGTCTTTCCAGAATTATTCATAGGCATCAATAGCTGTAACAAGTGAACACATGAGAGAGATAAATCATCATTTTCCAGTTTACATGAAGAAGATAGGACAATTACGCTAAATTATTTGTCTGTTAGGGCAGTTGTTAACAGAGACAAAAGGAATGTGCTTAAGTCCCTGTGCTATGTTTTAAAGTATCCTTGATTTCCTTCTTTTTCTTTTAACTTCCTTTTTTCTTTCCCTTTCCTTTTCCATTCCTTACCTTTCCTTTTCTTTTATCCCTTTGTCCTTGAGCTACTGACATCCTCTGCCTCCCCTCCATTCCTTCCGTCCCAGGTTCAAGCTGATCTACAGAAAACAGACTACAGGTTGCATGAAGTGAAGAGTGTTCTTTCTGCTTTTACTGTTGAGAGAGAACAGACAATACAAGCATCGTTTAATCACAGTATTTCACCTGAAGGGGAGAAACAGGTTAGACAACACTTAGTGTAGACATGGATGAATTCATTCTAAGATAACAATATTATGGGCCTTGTTTCCACTGAACTTACTGTAGGCAGTTCATCTGTTTCATATGCCTCATTCAAAATATAGGCATATCTGTCCTGGAATACACATAGATTAGGTGCCATGGGCCTAATTATGGCTCTCATTCATTACTCACTAGCGAAAGGAGCAAGCTGAATATAGACAGTTGCTCCAAAATGTGACAACATACTGTACGACCGTGGCAGTCAAATGGGGAAAATGAATTTCTGGAACCTCATTCCTGAGGTTCTGTGCAGTTCAGGGTAGATTTTAAAGTTGAAAAGTTAAAATTTTAAGGCAATGTTTCAAAATACTAATATGCCGGCCGTTTAAAATATTTTTATGTCTTGTATTTGAGTATCACTAGCTACTTGTCCTTTCATTGCTACCTCTTAAATTGCTTATACCTTAAAAAGCCATTCAAAGTTGTCATGCTGAAGGATAATGCATTAAGAGTAGAAAACTGCCTTTGGTAAAAGAGCGAAAGCAAAGTGTATGCTGCAGTGCACTCTACTGGGTCTACAGGTGCTCAACAGTGACCAGTTCAGAACATGTTACCAGAGCTTGCAAAGAAAAAGCAGTTTTGGTTTTGGTTGGTTGGGTGGTTGGTTTTTGTTTTTTCCCCGGGAATTTTCTTCCCATTTGTTGTCAGGGAGATGGTGAATGGACAGCGATCCAGAGACAAAAGACGTGGCCTTGGCATACCATTGTAATGGTTCTGGGGGAGTGGGAGAAGCGGTGGGAGGGTACAGACATATTCTGTCAGTCTCTTAGCTGGGGGTGGGTAGTCCTTGCCCTGTAGGGAGCAGAGACGGTCGTGTGGTTTTTCTTCGTCTGGGACCTCTCCTGCGCAGCGGTTTTTCAACACTGCCGTGGAGCTCCGCCTGCCGCCGGAGTCTGTTGCTTGCAAGAGAGAAAGGGCGGCTTCATTGACTGAGACTTCGCGGGCTGCCAGCGCCGACAGAGACCAGCACAGTCCCCACGGGTGCCTGCCTGGGGAAGCCATTCCCTCCGCCCTCCGCCCTCCTCCCGGAACCGCCGCTTGGAGGGCCCCTGAAGCTGGAGCAGCACGTCCGCCGGACCTCTTCTCTGTTCCGTAGTGGGACATCATAAAGCCCAGCCTTCCCAGCGTGTACCGGCTGCCGTTAGCGATGCCGAAGTCATCGCTGGGGGAGTCAGTCCTTCTTCCCTCGCTCTCACCCGAGTCTGCCATCACCAGCGGGGAGGCCCCGATCTCTGCGGCAGAGTTACCGCAGCCTACAGCGCCCCTTGTCGGTTGTCGCCGTAACTACACCAATGGGGAAATGCTTGATGGGCGGGAAAAGGCTGTTAGTGGATTTTCTTGTCCTTGCTCCTGTTGTTCGTTTTGTGCTGTTTTATATATATATAGTCTAGTAAAGAACTGTTATTCTTTTTTCTATATCTTTGCCTGGAAGCCCCGTAATTTCGAATTCATAATAATTCGGTGGGAGGAGGTGATCTTTCCGTTCCAGGGACATTCCCCTCTTTCTTGGGAAATATCTGTCTTTTAAACCAGAACAATGTTATTGTCAACAGATGATCTCCAATTACACTTTCAAGAATTTGGCAAGTCAGAAAGGGGACTACTGTTGAGCCCATAAGTTCCTTAAGGGGAAGGTTTACCTGCACATGGAAGAGAGATAAACCACACCTGCAGAACAACAGTTATAACACAGAGCTCTGGTGCCATGGTCCTCTCCATGTGTACCTCCTCCTATGATGTTCTCCGTACAGCACTTCTTTCCCAGGCAAATCCTCAATAAAAAACCACATTTATTCTCCTTCTATGGTACTTTTCTCCCACATATGTTCATGGGTTGAAAGTATTAGGATCTGTGTGTGTGGTGGTGGTGTGGAGAGAATATGTGTCACTTATTAATGAAGAGTTCTTTTTGTCTTGTACTTTTATTTTCCAGATATTTCAGTATGATGATGAAAGTTCTCTGTATAAATATATCCCTGCTTTGGAAATAAAAAAGCTGCAGGAACAGAATGCCAGCCTTCGGGCTGCTATTGCACAAATGAGGAAAGAAATGGAGAGTCTTGATGAGCAGATGTTGTCTTCTCTTCCTCAAACAGAAGGCAGACAGCTTGCAGAGCAAGGTGAAACTCTTGACAAAGAACTTTAAATTCAGTTAAGGAAGTTTAGGAGTCACAGTCATAACCTATGAAGGCTCCCCAATCCATGAGTGTGTAAAAATTGTTATTTGATTGCACCATACACAAGAACACAGTGGTCTGAGATTCTGTTTACGAAACAATTATTAGTGAAAAGAAACACACACACACACTATAAGTCACTACAAAATTACCACTAGAAAAGCAATCATGTCTGTATTTTGCAAGAGTAAAGCATTTATATGTATATTACAGAATTCCTGATAGCGAAGCCAGTAGGTAGAATCACAGAATGGCTTGGATTGGAAGGGATCTTTTAAGATCTCCTAGTCCAAACCCCCTTGCCATGGTGGTTTACAGTCCCTTTACAGTATATCTACTGAAGTGGTGTACAAAAGGAGGTTCAGGGGGAACTTAATACTATCTACAACTACCTGAAAGGGAGTTGTTGTGAGGTGGGGATCAGTCTCTGTTTCCTAGTAATAAGCAATAGGACAACAGAAATAATCTCAAGTTATACCAGAGGAAATTTAGATTGGATATTTTAAATTAAGTATTAATAATTATTAAATATTAAATACTTAAGTATTAAAATTTTCTTTTTGAAAAGGCTTATTCAAGCATTAGCACAACCTGCCCAGGGAAATGGTTGAGTTGCCATCCCTGGAGGTGTTTAAAAGGCATGTATGTGTGTGTGGACATTTGAAGACGTGGTTTAGTGGAGGACTTGGCAGTGTTAGGTCACTGGTTTCACTTGATGATTTTAAAGGTCTTTTCCGACCTAAATCTATGGTTTTATGATTCTGTAACTAGACAAACTAGACATTTATATGCATAAGACAGTGTTCTGAAGCAGCTCTTGCTATGAAAGCCTAAACTCTCTATAAATACGTATGCATTCCTATTATACTCCTCTTTTAGGTTCATTAAACACAAACAAAATTTCAACTGGAACCACACTGAGCAACATCAAAGTCAGTTCAACTAAGTTGGATTGTTTAGTAAACCCAGACACAGAAGAGGTATGTTGAGGTTTAAACTACCTAAAAATATCTGTATGTATGTGCGTGTGTGTAATTAAATACCTAGTGTATTATTATTGTTTGAGTACGTATTATAAATGGAAGTAATAAGTGCTTATGTGATTGGTCAGATGAGAGCCAGCAAAGATTTTTTTAGCCAAACTTACTCTTATTCTTTCTAGTCAATAAATTTTGACTAGCCAACCCTTGGCACAAGTCACTTCTGATCTTGCAAGCTAGTCTTGATGGGGTTTTTTTCCTACTTGCAAATGCTTAAACTACTGTGTGTCACTGCTTCAGGTTTTCCATTGCAAATCCATATTTTAATGCTGAATTACTTATGCTTTATATGTACAGACACGTAGCAAATAGGGGATATGCAGGCCAAAACTTCAAGTGAATAAAATGCTGGAATTGTAGTTGATGCTGTCTTCACTGAAGTTGGACTATTGTTTCTTGCCTATTTTTTTGGTCTGCTTTATTTTTAGTTTCTCAGTACATAACAAGCCTTCTTAGACATAGACTGAGCTGAAAGCAGTCCTGAAAATATCTTAAAAACAATGGGCAATACTTCATTTTACTTTCTTATGGGATTTTACAAGTGCTTATCATTAGCACTTTTCTAATCTTTCTCTGTGCTTCTTACATTTATTTATTAATTGCATACTAAGGATGTACTTAGGGCCATGAAGAATTACAGCCAAAAATATTTCTACCTCAGGGAGCTCAGAATCTGTTGAGCAATAATGGTAACTAAACATAGGGGTGCAGGTGAAGTCAGTAAGCAAGCCATATAGTGATAGTTTTCTTTTTTCCATTTAAAATAGCAGAGTTTCTGTGATTATAATCTGGAAATTATAGGCTCCAGCACTAAAGAAGAAGAGGAAAGTTTATTGTGGAAACTAGTAAAAATAGCATGTAAACTTTTGCTTGTACATATATTTTTCTATTTGTCTTTTGTATCAGCTCTGAGGAGAGTTCTTCTTCCCACTCTTCTTTAGTATCCATCTTTTCAGTGTTTTCTGTTTTGTACTGCAGAATTTTGCTCTGGACATAGATCTAAAGGTTAAAAGATTTCTGAGTTCCACTCCTAATTCTACAGCTTACAGTCTGAAAAAAAAAATGTTCTGTGCAATGCTGTGGAATATTTTTCTGAAAAGTTCAGGGAAAATAAGTTTAAGCAAATGGCATGCCTTGCCCCAGTCAGGTGATGTGCTTTTGTCTTTTGATCCGGTGAAGGTGATCCACAGTGTGACAGCCAGTGGTCCCATGACTGGTCATTGCCTTCGCCTTGCTTTATGTTAAGCTTTAGTATGTCAATTTGACCGGCGAAGGTAGACTGTAATAATTTCACACTCACACACACACAATCACACAGAATCACTGGGTTGGAAGAGCCCTTCAAGATCATCGAGTCCAACTGAGCCCCAACACCTCAACTAAACCCTGGCACCCAGTGCCACCTCCAGGCTTTTTTTTAAACACATCCAAGGATGGTGACTCTACCACCTCCCCAGCCAGGCCATTCCAGAACTTTATCACCCTTTCTGTAAAGAACTTTTTCCTAATATCTATCCTATATTTTCCTTGGTGCAGCTTAAGGCTGTGTGCTCTCTGCCAGTTGCTGCCTGGTGAAAGAGACCAACCCCACCTGACTACAACCTCCTTTCAGGGAGCTCTAGAGAGTGATAAGGTCACCTCTGAGTCTCCTTTTCTCCAGGCTGAGCACCCCCAGCTCCCTCAGTGGTTCCTCACAGGGTTTGTGTTCCCAGCTCCTCTCCAGCCTCATTGCCTCCTCTGGATGTGCTCGAGCATCCCAATGTCCTTCCCAAACTGAGGGGCCAGAACTGGACACAGCACTCGAGGTGAAGCCCCACCAGTGCTGAGTACAGGGGAAGGATGACCTCCCTGCTCCTGCTGGCCACGCCATTCCTGATCCAGGCCAGGATGCCATTGGCCTTCTTGGCCAGCAGGGCACACTGCTGGCTCACGTTCAGTTTGCTGTCAGCCAGTACCCCCAGGTCTCTTTCTGCCTGGGCACTGTCCAGCCACACCGTCCCCAGCCTAGAACGCTGCAGGGGGTTATAGTGGCCAAATGCAGGACTCAGCGCTTGGATTTATTAAACATGACTTTATTGGATTCTGCTCATCCTTCCAATCATTCCAGGTCTCTTGCAGAACCCTCTTACCTTTCAGCAGATCAACACATGCTCCCAGCTACTTGTGTTACTTGCTTTTATACAAACCGCTAGATATGTGTCAAAGTGCAGTTTATTTTTCCTTTCACTTTGGTGTCTTAGAATTTTTAGACTCTAGTCCTGCACTAATTTCTCTACCTTTCTCCCCCATACTCTTTGTAGGCCTGCATGCTTTCTCAGTAAGTTCTCAAGAGCCTTCCTTTTAATGGTAAAACTATCCAAAGAAATAAGAGCATGGGAGTTGCATGGCACAATAAGGCAACAATGGTTTGGTTTTTTTCTCAGTATGGATAGTAGCTTTCAATGTGTACTTCTTGAATCATAGTGTTTAGGGTGGTTTAGTTGAAAACTGATTTGGATTGCACAGTTAGCTAGTTTATATGTAAAAGAGTAAACGTTCCAATGAGTAATTGTAAAACAATTTTAGTGCATGTGATACATTTAGATACTTATGGCAATGTGTGAAATATAAAATCATTATAGGGAGTTGACTGTTCAGTGAATGATGACTATTTAAATGGCTATCAAAAAGTCTCCTCTGAGGGGGCTGAAAGAAGACGGACAGACCTTGAAAAACAAGGATGCGATCTTTTGGGTATATACCTTACCACTACGTGTATGTGCAGGTGGACTCAGGTTGACAAAAACAAAACATTGTAGAATCTTTACTTTTCAGTAAATGTTTTAAGTTATATCTACCCCCTTTTGTTTTTATGTACAAATGATAAAACAATGTACACAATGATTAAACAAAGAAGGATTTGTAGCAGATTGCTATTTGGTATGAAGAACTTTTTTCCACATTTTGTCTTAAAATTAAGTGCTTTTTAGTTAACAGTTATACAGTGTTTATCCTATGTGTATTATTTTACGCTTACAGTTGACAATATGTGTGGGAATGTCTCAGGCTGTTACAGTGTTTTGCTCCACAGTTTAATTTGCCCTAGACGGCTAAAAAATCTGGAAAATGGGCCCGAAAAAATGAACTGTAGCCTTCAATTTTACACTTTTTCTTCAGCTGACCTCTCAGGCATATTTGTACAAATCTCTGAACCTGCAGACCGCATTTTCAAGATATTTATTATAAGCATTATCTGTTTTATTTAGGGGCCAGAACCCAAAGTTCTTGAAGAAAATATGGTCAATTTTGGACAACAGCCAGCTGATGTAGGTACTGGTAATGGTTGTCAATATAGTGTCAAACACACTCTACAAGGAATGCAAAATAAACTCAAGGAAGCAGCAAGAAAAATTTCAATTCTGAGCCAAGAAAAGCGGCAGCTGATTGAAATGGGAAACAGACTCAGGGCAGAACTTGGAATGGTGTTAAAGGAAGGTAAATTTATTCTAAAGAAAAGTGCTAGCTTATATATTTAGAATAAAATGGACAGGGAATCAGTTCATCCTCTGAGCTGGAGAAAGCTAGGCTTCATTATGAAAAAAAGGTGCTGGGCCTTACTGATCCTTGATCTACATAGCTCATGTGAGACTGTGGTACTAATCCTTGCAAGTAAGATTATCCTGTGATAGGAGATGCTAAGATAGAACAAAAGTCTGTGTAGTGACTTTTGCTGATAAACATCTTAGATGAAGAACTCTCTGGTGCCTCGATGTCAGTGTGGGAACTGGAACTTTAAGACTTTGTTTATGAGCAGAAAAGAGGTATTGTATCTCTTGGAATAAAAACTAATGCTTTAGGAAAGTGGAAGAGAAAGCAGAATAAGTTTACTGTAGAGTAAACTTGAATTAAAAGTATATATAATGTAAAAAGATTTCACTGTGGATATCTAAGTTCCATGCAGAGTTTTTCTGGCAATGAAATAAAGGGAAAAAAGCATGAGGCCCATTTCTGCATTTGCAATGAGAAGGCCTGTGTTCTGTGGTTCATTTATTATCTACTGTAAACACTTGCTGGAAATGCAATATGGTTGACAAAATATCAACAAAGAATGCCTTCCTCAGTACATTCTCTCTTTTATAGGAGTCTGGCATCCTGTTAGCTCTAAATACTGCACAGTTTGTGTTGCCTCTGGTAGTCTTCTTCCAAGAGAACTTGTCAAAAGAACACAGTGTCAGCTATCAGTTCTAAAGCATCTACAGCACAGACTCACAACACAGGTAATTATATGCTGTTTAAAATTTAGCGATAATAAGCCATTAAGCCAGTTCTGATTCCATTAATATTAAACCATTAAACCTAAAATTCTGCATTTAAATTACCCTGACTGTGTTTAGCTCAAATCTATCTTTGGAAGATTCTGTAGAATCATTGCATATCTGGAGCTGGAGGGAACCCATGAGGATCTTTGCACCCTGATGTCACACAGGACAACCTAGAAGTTAAGCCATTTAAGTTAGGGGCATTGTCCCAACTGTTTTTTGAACACAGAAAGGCTTGGGGCCATGACCACCCCCTGGGGAGATTGTTCCACTGCTTGACCACCCTCTCAGGGAAGAATTGTCTGAATTTTCCCTGATGCAGATTTAAGCCATTCCTCCACATCCTATTACCAGACACAAAAAAAAATCAGCACTTCCTACTCTCCCATCATGAAAGGAAGTTATAGAGAGCAATGAGGTCATCTGCCAGCCACCTCTGTTTTAAGCTGAACAAGGCAAGTATCCCCAGCCACTCCTCATAAATCTAGCCATCTAACCTTTTCACCATCTTTGTTGCCCTCCTTTGGACTTTGTTTCTAATATTTTTATATTCTTCTCATATTGTGGAGCCCAAAAATGCACACAGTACTTGAAGTAAAGCCATATCAATGCTGAGCATAGTGGGACATTAGCTTCTTTTGGCCAGTTAGCTGTGCTGTGCTTAACACACTGAAGACACAGCTGGCACTCCTGGCCACCAGGATGCACTGTTGACTCATGTTGAGCTTGCCAACAATCAAACCCCCAGATCCCTTTCTTCAGGGCTGCCCTTCAGCCTCTTGTCCCTCAAATGTATACAGTCCATGCCTGTAGTCCCAGGTACAGAATCCAGCTTTTTTGCTCTCATTAAATTTCATGCAGTTGGTGATTACCAAGCATTACAGTCTATCGAGGTCTCTTTGTAAGGTCTCTCTACCCAGAAGGGAATCAATGAGTCCTTCTCATTTAGTATCATCAGCCAACTTAGTGCACACTCAACTCATTCATCCAGGTCATTGATCAAAGACTGGAGAGAATTGACCCTAAAATCGAGCCCTGGCAAACACCATTAGTGACTGGCCACAAGCCAGATAGTTCCCCATAAGTTTAAAGGGTTTGGGACTTCAAAAGTAATATTTTTAAACCTGATCTTCAACCAAGGTATTTCAGAAACAAATGTATTTATGCAATGTAAATGCAATCCTAAATTACAAATTTCGTAAGGCTTTTTACTTTTAACTGAGCAGGAAAGGCTGTTTGAAGGATTTGCACTATGTTCTAACATAAACTTTAAAGTGATTAATCAGTCAGGGTATTTCCAAATACTCACAGTGGTGGGATTTCAAAGCACCCATGTCCAAATAACTGTAATAGCACCTTTTCCATCTATAAAAGCAAGATATATAGTTAACCTGTCTCATATATTTTGTAATTAAAATGCAACCTTTAATAGTTAAATTGCAGCTTTTATCAGAGAGACTAATGAAAAAAATCCTGGCCTCCCTAGTAGTTAGTGGCAGACCTCCCAGTAACTTCGATAGCCAGGATTTCACTATGTACTTGACTTAATTGATCAGCAGATTTGTTCCTGTGAGAATTGAGTCAGAGCAGTTGATTGTTGTTGTAGTTTTGAAGGCAGTAAACAGTGTTCTTTTAGAAAGGGTGAGGTTGTTGCTCTGAGGTATAAAACTCCAGTAGAATTATTAACCAAGTTTAGCTGGGGAAACACTTCCTCTGGGAACCACACTGGGCAAGTTGTTCCAGGGTTTGGTCACCCTCACAATAAAGAAGGCTGTCATTTGGTTGGGGTTTTCTTCCCCCTTATATTTAGGCAAGGTGTCCTGTACTTACCTTTTTGCTCATTATCCCTTGGTCTTCCACCGTATACCACTGAGATGTCTCCAACTCAGTCATCTTTATCTCCTTATAACATCCTCATCAGATGCTTATACATGTTGAAAAGATTAATCTGTCTCTTCTGGAGACCAGCAAGGCCAGCTGCCCCAACCTCTTCTTCTACATCCAATGTTCCAATTTACTGATCATCTTTTTGGCTGTTTGCTACTTTGTGGAATGCCTCAGCGTGCTTGTGGATTTATAATTTTTTCTGTATGCTTGTGATCATCTCATTAACCTAAAGTCACAAGTTTGGCATCCTTTGTTCACTTGAACTTTCAGTTCTCTGTTTCAGAAATAGTGACCTGTTTATTAAATGCTAACACTGGAAATAATTTTTACAAAGAAATTCAGGTTCAGCAAACCACTTGAGGAGATCTCTTGTGACCTGCTTGTTTCATCTGTGCACTGCTGGGATTAAGGTCTGAAAAAAAAATTGGCTAAATGGTTATACCAAACATACATAAAAGTGACTTCCAGATCTGGGCAAAATTACCAAAATTCAAAACCACTTTTTTTTCCTTTTCCACCTCTTTAATTATTCTTTCTTTCATAGCTCACCTTAGAACTTTGCTGACTCTCAAATTAAGACCAATGAATAGTCATATCCGTCCATCCCAATCTTCTCTTGCCTTATTTTTAATGAGCAAGATACTGTGTTTGTATTTTTCTACATAAATCGTGTCTCCCATGTTCTGTTAAAAATCATTAAAGATGATTCTTACTTTTGTAAGAATAAATAGATTTTTAAAGTACAGTATGACTATAGCACTTGGAGAGGTAGAATTTGACTGTGAGTTTCCAGATGGTGAGCTAAACGCTGGGAGTAGTAGCTCAACCTCTTCAGCTGATGGGTTGCTTGGAGGTCATGGCTGAAATGGCTGTCATTGAGGATCTTTCCACCTCTGGAACCTTTGAGTTCATCATTCTATACTAGAAAGGATAGCCCTTCTTACATCCAAGCTCATACTCTCATTCCAGGCTGCTCTTTACTCTGAATATATCTGCTGAGGCTTCAGCTCCTACACAAAAGCTGAGCTCCAGGTTGACTTTCCAAAGAATACTATTATTCTAGTTTGGGTGTTTTGATTCTAGGTGATCCTCTTACTGGCCAGGCTACATTTGCTCCTGCATTCCAAGATCTTTATCCTTATAAAAAACCAAGAAAATTTATTACTGTCAAAGCTACAGGAATTTTACTGTCAATTACTTTATGTGATGGGCTCACGTTTTGTTTCTTTGGTCTTAATTACATAGCAGAAGACTTCGGTGTTTATTTGCATCTCCTTTGACAGGGCTGAAGCAGTTTTCTTTTCATCAAATCTCACTTTAGTTGCTACAAGTTGAAAGTTGGTGAAACTTTGAAAGGTAAATTAGTTCATTTTGGCTGCTGACGATTTACTTTTCCATAGCTGCTTTATTTCAGTTGGGGTTTTAGGTATTGTTTTGGAGTTTTTCTTCTGTAATTTTTCTTCTGTAATTTAATCACGGGAAAATATGAAAGTGAAGAAGGACCCTGATGATGTAAGCTTGAGCAACAAGCAAGGTGATAGTAAAAGCACCAGGAAATGTAGATATTGAACAGATTTGATACTAGGTTTATTATAAAGATAGTTTGACCCTGTTGATCTGAAGAGAACATAATTTCATTTAATATTATTTATAACGGCTTATTTTAATTCTAGCAGTGTAACAGCAAACTGAGCTATAAGGATGTTAGTTTTAGGGAGCATGAGTTACTTGTGTTAATGTAATATTTCACATTAGGAGCTGCAGTGCACAAGGCAACAGCATCCTTCAAGGTTCTCTTCTCTTACTGCCTGCTCTAGCTTAAAGGAAGAAGAAGCTCCAAGCAGCTGTGGAGAAGAAACAGAATTACCATCCAGTGAGGTACAGTGCAGTTTTATGATCAATGTAATTCACCCTCATTTGGCTTTTTCAATTTGAATTGCTCAACAGTCATCTCCTCAAAGACTTAAAAACCTATGTCTTTCTAAATGCATTGTCTTTTTTATGCATTGTTCCTGTACAAAATAGTATTTGTTAACACTAAATAAACTAGGGTTTCTCAATCACTGCCATGATGTTGTAATTAATCTTCTTGTACAACCTTTCAAAATTAAAAATAATAATTTTCTTTTGTCTTGCCTCTTGCCGAAACCCTCTTTCTTTCCAAGTCCAAGATGCCACTATGAAATGTAACCAATTTTCTGATCTCTTTGATGTGAAAAGTATGTATGTCTGTAAGATTGTGTTTGAATTTGAACAGGTTTGGATAGATTTCTCTATTGAAAATCATGGGCCAGATACATTCTCAGCAACAAAGGAAGATACAACCACAGAGATTGTTCAAACTCAGCTGCTCAGTCAGAGTCCTAGTCATGTCCAACAGGTTCAGCTTTCTTCATCTAGAATGCAAAATTTCTGTCAAATTTTAGATACGGGATCAAGCCATTCTCTACTCAGTCCTCGAAAGAACACCAGCCGAGGTAAGCCTGCTTTGTAAAGTAGTCACAATATTTGACTCTTCTGGAAATGTGGAATTACGGTGGATTCTGTTGTCGTTCATTAATTCTTTTACATACTGCTCCTGAATGAGTTACTTGAAGGGAATTTCACGGTTGCCAGCAGAAGTAAGAATTAAGAGGAATGTCTATATAGCTGTCTGGTTTAAATGCCTTCATTGCAAATACTTCTTCACTGTTTTAAAGTACTCCTGTAGAATGCAAATTTTGTTTTGACATAGTCTAAAACTTAGCTGGGGCAGATATAAATGTGTCTGTTTGAGAACTGTACACTCATATTCATATGCGATTAATCACATACAGACTGCAGGAACTGGATTAAGGGAAGTGATTTGTTCCCCTAAATTTGACACTTGTGAGGCCACTGTGTCCATCTTTGTACAAAAGTGTGACAAACTGGAGTCCAGTGGAGAGTCACTAAATGGCTGGGGCATGGGAACACATTACACGAGAAGAGGTTTAGAGAACTGGGTTGTTCAGTGTAGAGGAGAGTAGGTGAGTGGTCTGATTGGTGCTTTTTGACTCTCCGGTGAGGGATTTTGGAGAAGACAGAACCAGACTCCTAGAGATGCACAGTGAAAAGTGGCAAATGGACAGAAGCTGTGTCAAAATACATTCTGAGCAGGGAGTGATAAGCACTGTGACATTTCACCCACAGGTCCTATCCAGCCTATGTTACATCTATTTTTAAACCAGTGTATGAAGGCAATGAACCATCTTTAGTAGCTCACAAGAAAAAATAATACTTAAAAGGGCTTTCAAAATGAAGAGTGGATTATAAGTGTATTTATTCACAACAGCAGTGCATTGCAGGGACAAAGTAATGTGCATTGACAGACCTGTAGGACTGGAATGGACATAGTGCTGACATTCATGATTCTCGTGCTTTTTTTGTGAGGCTAGGACTGAAATAGGAAGAGCATTTCAGGCCAGGCCTATATTGACAGGATAAGCAAAAGGATAGGATGTCTTTGAAACATTACTGATAGTGCCATGCAGTTTTGTGCTGTTGGATGTGTGATGCAACAGCTCTGGCAGCCTTACAAGGACATCAGTTTCTTAATGTCTAGAAATTTCCAGCCACTGTTGCAAAACCTAATGTAGATTTTCGGGGATCCAGAAATAGCAAAAGGGACAGAGGATACTGCCAACGTGGAACAAGTGAAATGTGAATCAATAAGGGATAATATTTTCCTAAGACCAAGTTTAATTTGATCTCTGCATCCAGATGTATATGAGGCATACCACAGTGGAACTTCTTACTCAACATGCAGGCCCTGAAATACTGCATTGCAAGAATACGATTTTTAAACAATCTATTTTGCTGCTTAGCTTTCTCCTCCAGGAAAAGGTGTCCTTAATTCCACTGGACTGAATTCTGTATTTCAGAAAAAAAATTATGAAAGCAAAATCTTTCTCTTTTTTTTGGAACAACATCATCTTAGAAGCATTATATACAAAATTTTCAAATTCTGCTTCTGCTTCTGATTTTTAGCAGAGGCTTGTATTATTTTTCAGGCCTGAGCTATGGAAATTAATTCAATCTTTCCTGTTTAAAACCACTCACTTGAATTTAATATATTCATTAAATACATTGTTACAATGGATAGAACTGTCATTGAGACAGAGTGACTTGGAACTGGGCTTTCAGGTACTAGTGACGCATACAGACACTTGGAAGCTCAGTGGCAAAAAATGATTTGCAGCAAAGCATGCAAGTTAGTTTGCTTATTCAAACCTTTTTTTTTTTTTCCCAAGTTCAATTCTGTCCAAATTGGTAACACCAGTAGATGTGTTTTGTGGGAATTTCTGGTGAAACGAATTGTAGCTTGAAAATGATTTTTCTGAACCTGTTAAACAGTTTAATTTTTTTCATGTTACATGTACCAAACAGCCTACTGGCACTCAAAATGGTTGGCATGTCAAGTAAGCCCTGCAATTTGCTGTATTTCCAACCTATTACACAATGCAATGACTAAATGTGTTTTGAAGAGTTAATGACTACATCTGAATTACTGAAGTGGACTGTTATATACTTTATTCATTTCACCATCAAATTCAGACCTTGTGTAAGCTTCCAAGCAAGTCAAAAGGCTATGAGATATTTTAATTTTCTCTCTCCTTACTCTACCTGCTAATTTTCAGTTTACTGTAAAAATTAGATGGATTTCATAGCTTGTATGTTAATTCTGCAGATAAGTAGAAGGAAGATGTTTAGAAGGATCATAGGTCCCTTCTTCAGGTATTTTTATTGTTCTGTATTATTGGAAGAAAAAGAACCTCCTAGTGATAGACAGATACAAGCCATGATGATATTAAAAGGCTACATAGGATGCATAGGCTGTACAAATAAGAAATACACCTCTGTATTTCTTTACTTTTTAAATGCTCTATCCCAGAGTTTGAGAGCAAGTGGAGATTTTGATTGGTGATCCACATCATAGGCACCTTGAATGCTGACAACAAGCCACCCTCAAAGGAAAGTAGAGCTTTTTTGATTTTAGAGTAAATGTTAGGCAGGAGGAGGGGAAGATTTGTAAAATATTTAGAAAATGGAAATTTATTTTCTTCTATTTATCTTGGTAAGTTTACTATTCTATTTGCTATTGAAGATACTTACCAGTTTTTCAGAGGGGAAAAAAGCAAACATCACCTATTGAAGTTCAGCTGTAATACTGCATTTAGCATGAAGCCAGTACTGTGAAGGGTTCTGTGTGGTACTGTGTGAAATGCTCCTTATCAGCTCCAATCAGCTATCCTTGGGTTAGCAGAGGCTGGGGTCAGTACAGGGGTAATAAGGGTCTAAGGCAAGCTGTGTCCCCACTAGTCATTTGACTTATACATATTTAGTATAGATGAAACTTTGTATTTTCACATCCCACAATACATTTTTGAGAAACCCCACCACCACAAGTATTCAGAACCCTGTCCTCAGTTTAATAATTTGGGTTTACATTGTAGCCTAACAAAGAACAGGAGCGAGCTGCTTTGAGGTAAAGTAACTTTTTTTATTTACTACTTGAGTTTAGATAGGGGAGTTTCTTGTACTATAATTCTCACTGTAACTTGTGAGCTCTGTCATCTGAAATTCCACACTTCATGGATCAAAAGTTATCTTAAGTGTTTCCACACTAGACAGAATTTCAACAGCTTTGACATCACTGACAGTTCTAAGAGCAATCCATGTGGGTAAAAAGCTGGCCAGAGAATGAATCTGGTAAAATATTAACAAACAGAAACAGTGCTCTGGCTCGGGCTTCATTCCAGCTCCAATCAGAGAAAAACTCATGATCTCTTTTCTGCATTACGTGAAACTTCATCTTTGAAGTGTTTCACAAATATTAACTAATGCCCAAGCTACATTTTCTTCGTTTCTATGTTCTTCTCCTGAATAGGAACTTGTTTGAGTTGGTCTTCCTTCAGAAGCACTGTTAGCCATAAGCAAAGATCTAGTGACAAATTTCTTAAATGAAACTTCCATATGACGAAATTTCAGTTTGCCTATACAACATGCCTGCATATATCTCTTTTATCCTGAGAGAAAAAAAATCTATGAATGTTCATTTCTGACTGAAGTTAGCACACATCAAATGGAAGATATGTTAAGCATTTCAATACACTAAACACTTAGCTCCATTTTCAAAAGCAGTTTAGATGCTTGGCTATGATCTTGCTAGCTCTGGTCGCCACGGTCACTTCTGAAGTAAGTTGCAGGCTTGTAAATTAGGTGTGTTTTTTCATAGGTGCGCAAACCAAGCTACAGCATTTAAAGAGTATTTCTAATTCTGGGTACTGATTCTTTATCTTTTCCTAATTTTTGGAACTAACCTTACAAGTTTGCGGTGGTTGATTTTAAATTTCTGTGTTAGTACACATTTTTGACAGTCCAAAACTTAAAAATAGCCATGTAGAATGCTTGTATTCTGTGCTGTTGTTCCAAATACCTAACTAAGAAGCCTTTACTAGTTACAACTGTAGTTTCTCTACTAATGACAGGAGACAAGCATACAGAAGTCTTCACAGGAAGGGATGCATGTCATGCATTGGTGCTTGATTACTTTGCCTTTAGAATTACACAATTAGGGCCTCCCACATTAATTTATGAAAGTCATCCCCTTGGGTGAATACAAAAGGCCCTTGAAAACTGAGTATTTTAAAAAACAGACTGTCTGTAAGCAGTGTTAACTGTGTGCTATGGAGCACTGGATCTGCTCATTCCTGTTATTTAGACCACGCACAAGAAGTAGTATTCTACTTATTCTACTGCTGTTCCTGTTCAAGACAGTAATGTTCGAAGCAATATCTTTCAGACACTGCTGCCTGCACTTTTTAAAATGGTTGATGTTGTGAAATTCTGCTTTCTTATCTGCCAGATGTGGGAGAGGCATTCTAATGATTAAAGTCCATTTCCCATGCAGGAAAATACACCCAACGATCTTCATGGGCTCAAGCATCCTCTTCCATACCTTCTACATCTGTAGGAAACCACTAGGTGGCAAGCTGAACCACAGGATGTCGCATCCACAGCTCAGGAGTCCACTGAGCTTTGGTCACCAAGCTGATTCAGTGCAGAGATCACACACATGAGTGAACAGCTGGTTCAAGCTAAGCCAGTGTATAAAAATTAGTTTGAAAAGTGTCGTGTTTTGGCATTAGCCACAGTGTCATGCTTTGCACAGAGCTATAAACCTTCAATCGATCAATCCATTCTGTAATTCAGGAACATGTTGTATTTCCTTTTATGTAGAATTTTGTTTAGACTTCCTACCATGTTCAATGGACTTTAAAAATTTACTTTCTCCTACTAGTAACTGATCTTTGTCCATTTGTGCACCTTTTATTGCTGTGATTGAGTAGTATCTGGGACTGCAGACTGATGCTTATAAAATTAAACCAGTACAGAATACTCTAGAGTGTGTCATCACAGGTTTATTATGACTACTTCTGCTGTCTGCTTTGTCTCTCCATAGAAAATCTGAAGTTAAAGTCTCAATGCCTTGAAAAATAAGGGTTAAGTGCCTGGAGCCAAACACCTGTAAATATTACCTATAGTTTACAGTGAATAATGCGAATGAACAGTTCCACTTATCTTACCTAAAGAAACCCATGATAAGACTGAAGCTCAGTTAGTTGGAGATAATAGTTTTTGGAGAATTATGTGAGAACTGCAAGATGTGCTCTGACTGGTATTAGGACCAGTCCCACTGCTTCCTAAACAAAGATGTTTCTTTTTGAGTTAGTCCTTTTTGTAAAGACAGATATTTTAGATAACAAAACCAAATATTTACATACTAAATGCTTTCCTAAATGAAAGAAGATTGAAAAAAGACCCAAAAGATAATGGTAGCTTTGTCAAGCCAACAGAGTTACCTCTCAGTCTTTTATATTGTGCATATCCAAACACATTTTCTCAAAATGGAGAGAAAGGTAAACTTGTAAAATATGATGTTTTAAAACAGCTGAACAGATAGGTATTGCTTGACTTGAGCTGTTACACTGACCTTCCAGCTGTCTTCCTCTCTTAAGCAGTCTGATGCTAATGGAGAATGGACATGTACAGATGAAGGGGGGATTGAACAGAAGATACTGTGTTATACCATCAGTATGGCAAGCCTTAATGGACTGTTCTGGGCTCCTATGTACAGAAATGGTCCTGGTAATATAAGATTTTGACAATGTGACACTATGGCAGCAGTATATTTAGAGGAAAAGAGTAAACCAGCTCTCTTCAACTATTAAATCTCATAATTGAATACAAACATAACTACAAAGTATTTTTCTGTCTGTTTTTTGAGCAGGGGAGTTTGAAGTTGTACATTCAATCAAGCAATCTGAAGAATTTTGGCAAAATGTCAAAGCCAAGGATAAACTTGAAACATCAGCTGAAGATTTGACAGTCAGAGGAACAAGGCTGGAAGTTCAGCAGAAGTTAAAATCCAGGAGTTTGTTTTGTGCTCATCTATTAAAACCAAAAATCTCTTCCAGCATGACAAAAATCCGCAATTATAATATTAAAGACTGATTTCTATGTTGTCAGCATGTTGTAGGTTCACACTTGCTATGAACTTTTACTTTGACATCTCTATATCAGGTCTAATTATCAGCCTCGGTTTTGTATGTCAGGTTGAGATATTTGCAGCCAGAAGAGAGAACAAATACCCTGTTTCATACAGTGAAGCCTAAAATAAAGGGTTAATCTGTGTGCATTATGAGGTTACAATCTTCATTGTTGATACTGATTTATTTTAATTATATATGTTAAGATTTTCTTGCATCATGGATTTAGAAATGCTCAGTTAACACATAGGTAAAGCCTTGTGCCTTCAGGCAGGACTTGCAGGACTTCGGCAGATGTTTTGTTGAGAAACCGTAGATGTGATTTAAGCTTAGAAGTGGGATGCCTCAACCTACTTGTCTTCTAAATAACAATGCAACCGTTAATCCTGTGCAGCTATCTTTCCACTTGATAGAAAGGGGTTTCAAAAGATTGCATCTGAGTCTGTAGTATTTTTCATCTTCTGTAGCTCTTTCCACTTGTTCAGAGAGCATGAAAGAATATAAAATTAAATTTCTATTGTCACACCAGTGATTCTATTTTCCCTTGACAAGAGATTGTATGGACTTCAAAGCAGTGAGAAACACTGCTACAATGTTAGAATCATATATTCATAATAATACAGACATGTTGTAAGAAGTAAGTCTTAAAATAGATGAAACTAGAAGAAAACTTGAATGAGTTGTGATGTAAGAAAGGATAGCTATGTAGTAATGATCATGCCAGGACACTAATACAAGTAATCAGTTTATTTTTGTAGCATTTCCAGTAATGCTGAGCTGTCCTGGAACATTACAGAGATGAACTTTCCTATAAGTAAAGGAAATGCACATGAAAAATTCAATAAAAAACTTTTAATTGTGGGGATGGTCAAGCACTGGAACAGATTGCCTGGATGGGCTATGGAGTCTCTGTCTATGGAGATACTCAAAACTCAACTGGACATGGGCCTGGCCAGACTGTTCCAGCTGACCCTTGAGTTGAGGGCTTGGACTAAGTGATGTCAAGAGGTACCTTCCAATCTAAGAGATTCTGTGATTCTGCAAGTGGTATCACCAAAGTGAATAATACTTATCAGTTGCTGCTAAATATATAAAATCTAAAAAGGATAAATGAAGAAGAGAGCTACTTATGCATGAGTTGGTTTTTTTTGTGGAGTTTTTTTTTATAGAAATGCTTGCCTGATACACTTTACAAAGAGGTGTTCTCTTCAGCACCTGATAATATGCTGAAGAGCATTTGAGAATTTGAATAATTATTTTGTACTACCTGCTGAAAATATTCTGCTTTAGTGCAAAGGTGCAGTTATATTATAATCAGATGCTAGAAATCTGCAAGAAATTTCGTGAGATGTTGCTAAGTTAATATAAGGCCTGAGAGACCTTGTGAGCTTCTTTCTAAACATTTTCATTACTTGAAAATCCTGTCATTCGATTCAACATTGTTCATAAGCCAGGACAACATGATGCACTCCCTTGAACCAGGCCCTGAATGAGTTCTTTCTGTAGCACAAAGCATAGTGGTTTCTAACAACTACAGGAATTTTGGCCCAGATCACACCAGTTAAAGCACTCACTTGTTATTTCTAGAACTCAATGTGTAAATTCCAGATTTTATAATAGCTGTAGATCATCCTGAAAATTTTTTTTGTTATTTACATGTTTAATATTGACCTACAGAGATGCACAGTAGTTCAGTGGTATGAGATTCTGTGCATATGTTAAAAGCAGCATAAAAGCAGTTTGTTCCGTGATATTTGTAATACTACATCTGAACCTGGAAAACATTTCTCTTTATTCCTTACACCGTGGGTGTAAGCTGATGGGCTGCAGACTTCAGAAATGCTGTTGTGTAGGTTTGTATGCAGGTTTCTGTGGTTTTTTGGGTTTTTTTTGTTTGCTTGTTTGAGGGTTTTCTGTTGGGTTGTTTTTGGGGAGGGGGTTGGTATGGGGTTTTTTTGTTTGGTTTGGGTTTTTGGGGGGTTTTTTGGTTTTTATTTGTGGTTATTTGGTGTGGTGTCCCACTTACTCCCCCTCCCATGTCAACTGGCATGCCTGTTCATGCAGACCTCTTGCCAGTAACACAGCTTTAATTTATTCAGTTTCCCTGAGAAACAGGTTTCCTTAAGTCAACTGTAGGTAAGGAAAGATGATAGCTGGGTTGTTTCATTTTATTTTACTTGTGGTAGAAAAAAAAGTAGTTGAGTTATTGAACAGAGTACATCTGAGAACATAGCATGTAAGTATGAAAATTAACAAAATATGCATAATAATAAATAATATGGACATACTGTGTGGGGCAGTTGTGGCACTAAATACAGCAGGAAAATTCTCATATATTTCTCTTATGACCATAATATTTAAGAAACTGGGCACTGATTTCTAAGAAGCAGATTAGAAGAGTGGCAGCAAGGTACTACTGTGGACACTATTGAATTGTACAAAGAAAGGAATGCCTACAAAGAAGAGAATTCAAGCAGATCACGGAGTACTGAAAAGGTAAAAGAGGACATTATTTATTGCTGTCCTTATCAAAGGGTTAAAAACCTGTTATGTTGAGGAATATATAGATAAAGGCAAAAAGTCTGCCCGAGAAGGTCTAAATGGAGCTGTATTGCGAAGCGGCAGTGCAAGCGCGACCCGGGAGCGGGGCCTCTGCCCAGAGCCTGTTCAAAGCCATGAGGGAGAGACAAGGCGGGGAGACTTTCCTGCATCCCCGTGTTCAAGCCCACATTTGCCGACCGAAAGGCTTTTTTGTTTCGGAGAGGCAGTCGTAGGCAATACAGAAGAAAATTGAGATTCGTTACTGTTCGTGTTTAACCGAAGGAGTGCAAGTTAAGGGAAAGTGGATGAGAGGTGCCCACACGCAGAGCGACCCGCCCCGTTCCGGTGGGAAGGGGGGCGTAGCAGGGGCACGGCGGGGAGGGAACCTCTGGCGCCCGCCCCCCGCCTCCGGACTCGCTCTGCTGCCGCCAGTCAGGGCGGCGCGACGGGCCTGGGCACGGGGCAGCGCATCCCTGGCCGGCGTGCCTGCTGCCCTGTGGTAACCCCGGGACCGGGCTCCGCCGGGGTGAACGACCGCCGCCGCCGGAGAGCGACGGGCGCTGCTCGCTCTGCCGGCGGCCCCAGCCACCCCTCAGCCGTCACCACATCGCCTTATCGCTTAGCAACACCGCGCGGGCCCGCGATTGGCAGGGCCGCGCCCCCGCCCACGTGCCCCCGCCTCCGCATTGGGTGCCGTCCCGGGATTGCGCGTCCTGCCCCGCGTCCTTTCCCTTTGTGCGCCGCGGGTGCGCGCGGGCGCTGCGCGATCCCACCGCGCTTGGACTGGCGCCCGCCGAGCCTTCGCCTCAGTCGCCGAGCCACGGTGCCGGCACGGTGCGGTCGTACGCCCCACAGTGTACCTACCCGCGGGGAGGCGGGAGAGGGACACGACAAGGTCCGCGCCCACGGGGGGTCGGCGCTGCCGCGTCCCCGGCCAGGCCAGGCCAAAGCCAGGCACGTCCGCAGCGCCTAGTCTTCCACGGCCTCCAGTACGGGGCGGGGCAGGGCGCGAGAGCTTGGCCCGGTGCCCGCGGGCAAGCGGGCCCGCCTGTGTCCGCCCCGGCCTGGCCAGGGTCCCCTCCTCCCGTGGAGCGGCTCTGGCGGACAGGGGTTGGCATCACCCCGGGTCTGACCGGGGCGGCCCTGCCCCGGCTCTCATTGGACTGCGGCGAGGCGTAAACTGTCAGCCCATGTGGCGTGGCCGCTGGAGGTGGCGACTGCTTAAATAGGAGTGGGAGCTAGAGGGAGATAGTGAGGAGAGCGCGGAGTATCGGCCGTGCGCAGCCCGGCACCAGCCGCCGCAGCGTCCACCCCGCAGCATCTTGATCCCGCACTGAGCTGACGACAGAGTCTTACCGACACGAAGCCATCCGCACTTGTGCAGGTATCGGCGGGACAGCGGCTGCGGCGTGGTCAGGAGAGCGGCAGTTTTTGCTCCAGGCTCCGCGGGCCGCTGCGCCCCGCGGGTGCGCTGGGGAGGCTCCATCTTGCCCTCTACGCCGGGTAGGCGATGAGGGTCCCTGGGCTCAGCGGGAGTCCGCGGGCTCGGTCCGCGCGACCGGAAGGTTCTGTTCCCCGGCCCTGGGGTCGCCGCGCCCTGTTGCTGCGGGCCGTTCTCCCGTGGTCCAGCGCGGTTGTTCTGGGCACAGTCCCCTACCGCAGCGGCCGGTTACCGCGCCGCAGCCTCCCACTCCGCCCGCCCGGCAAGGTGGCTGCATTGTGGTGCTGGCGCTCGGCCATCTTGGCGGCGGGCGGGGACCGTCCCGCCGCCACGGCCGCGACCTCCCGCAGCCGGGCCGAGCGGGATCGGGGACGCGGCCGGGCCCCGCTGTCCGCAGTCCTCGCGCGCGCCCGGCGGCAGCAGCTGCGTGAGGGGCCGCGCCCGCCGCGGGCCGGGTGGCCTCGCGCTGCCGCAGCTCGGGCGCCGAGCTCCGCGCGGCCTCGAGTGGGCGCCAGGGCCGCACGGGCCGCTCTGCCCGGGCAGCGGGGCCGCGTTCTGCACGCCGTCCCGGGTTAGCGCGAAGGCACGGTCGTGGCAGGCTGAAGAAGCTTGTGCGGGAGGATATCGGCGCTCGATATTGGGAAGGGAGACTCGCCAGTAGGTTCTGGGAATCCATCTGAGAAAACGTGCCGTGTGTATTGCTAAACTGTTCTTTCCCACTTCAGTATAAACCCGCGGCCCACACGAAATAGCCCGGTGATCTACCATACACCAGTATGGATTTGACGATGTGTTTCTATTAGGAATGTGATCATCTTCTCTCTTTGGTTGGTTTTGCACCTGCTTGGTTCTTAGTCCAAATTTCCTTCCCTGGAATACAGCCGTGTAAGATACCGAATGCATATTGTCCTGGCTAATAGCTTTATTTGGATGCTTAAATTTAAACAGGCAGTATTAAGGGTGTGTAAATTGCCTGCTCCATCAGACCACCTTTGGGGGTTTTGGAGCATGTCTTGTCTTAAAAAATGGGAGAAGAAACCTCAAGCCACGTGAGCAAAGGATTCACCTTTACCTGCAGCCTCTATCCTTCTTGAAACAAAGTGAAAAGAATAGTACATTGTGAAAGGCTGCATTTAGTGGGTGAATTCAGAGAATGAGGGCAGTTATGAA